AGATGAGATCAAAACTGACCTTTTTGGTCTAATACCGAATAACATCCTGAGAACACCATCTTTACTGTGAAGCATGGTGGTTGTAGTATCATGCTATGGAAATGTTTCATGGCATCAGAGCCAGGAATACTTGGTACTTAGAATTAAAAATGGATTCAGCAAAGTACAGACAGATACTGGAGAAAAACCTGTAGTCCACAAGAGCCCTGGAACTTGGGAGAAGAGTCATCTTCCAGTAGGAACATAATCCAAAACACACAGGCAAAGCCAAACTGAAGTGGCCTAAAAACAAAAAAGTCGCTGTTCTGGAATGACCCAGTCAAAGTCTGGACTTCAATCTAATTGAGAATATCGGCAAGAGTTTCAAATTTCTGTTTATTAATGGTGCCCAGCCAAAGAGAGGGAGCTTGAGCAATTTTGCCAAGAATGAGCAAAATGTGCCCAAGTGTCCAAATATGCAAAGCTGGTAGAAACCATAGCCGTAATTTCTGCCCAAACTGCCTCTACCAAATATTGACTCAAGGGGAGTGAATACTTACACAATTAATTATTTTCTTTTTTATATTTATAATTTATTTAGGAGGATCTATAGAATTTAGTTTTCAGTTTCAGTACATTATAGAGAATGTTGTGTTAATCAATAGCAAAAAATCCCAATTAAATACTTTTTTATTCCATATTCTGACACCAAAAAAACCGTAGGGGGACAGAAAATGTCCAAGGGGGTTGAATATTTTGATAGCCACTGTGTGTATTGAAATGTCTGTTTTAAGATTAAGAAAACATTTTGCACTTTCTTTACACAGTGATTCCCTAGGTCCTGCTTAAAATTCCCTTTCATTATATCTTACCATTCAGAATGAGAGTGAGTCAGTTATTTTCTTGTTTTGAAGTGTTTGAATATAAAAGAATGGTTATACTGTACATGAAAGGAAGTGTTTCAACCATACCAAAAGATCAGACATGTTCAGTTGCTAGTAGCTAATTGATGCATGGATCACATCCAGCCATTTCGTGAAAATAAACAAGGTATCAGCTGTGACATGATGATTGAATATCTTGTTGCTAACTCCCACAACCTTTTGTGTGCACAAAATCAGCATTTTGCCAGACGCCTCAAGCTTATTCTGACATGCTGTCTAAAACCAGATTATCATATATGACCTATGACTTCCTTAGAAATGTTATTATGTGTCTGATCTTGAACTTCATCAGAACTGAATCGTAAATTAGCAGCTTACAAGTTCTTATCACAAATGTTTCACACAACCAACAACCAAAATTCTCTATACAACATAAATTCTGACAACATATTTTTCACTCTGTTCAGTCTGTATGATCCAAGAATGTTTTAGGCAGTTGAACCAGAGTTAGTATCAGCAGTCAGCACACCTTAGGCTAAAAGTTTGTTCTCATGCAATATTCAGTGTATTAAATGAGCAGGAGAAATTTAAAGTCCGCTCTAAACCTCGCAGGGAGGTGCATTACATGCAGCTGTATGCTAATGAAGTGTACTTTTAGCTTGTCCATGAGCCACACAGTCCTGAATTGGATAACATTTCTTAGCTGTTACTCCATTATGAAAGGTGTTAAAGTAGTCTAATCTTGATGCATTAAAGGCATTAAGACCGAAACAGTCCAAAGCAGCAAACCAATTGGCAGAAGCCAGTCTGCTAGGAAAATCGACATGTATACATCAAGTAATCTATTTCCATAGGTTAAACACAGCACTGAAAACCCAGAAACAGTAAAACAATCTAGAAGAAGGTT